TGGACAAATAATATTTTTAACAGCAATGCCAAATATATGGGAGGGTAATGATTTCAAAGAGAGAAAGAGAAGATTGGAAGGAGAGAAAGCGGTCCACGAGAGAGTGGAGAAAGAGTGAAAAATAAAATGGGAATAGTTTTACGAATTAAGGGATATATATATGGTATAATATGTTTTGTTTGTTTATTTATCGATTGTCTAATCTTTAAAGCACAATTAACTTTTTCTTTGTTTTCTGTAAGTAGGGTGCTTAAAATTAATTTCAAGATTTTTAAAAGAATTATGAATTAAATAAGTATTTCAATTTAATAATTTAAATTTTTAGTTTTAAATAAAATTTTAAAAATATAGTTTATATTATTTTTTAATATATTTTTTTAAACAAAAAGTTTTTAGATTTAAAACTTAAACAAATTCATACTACAATATAATTAATTAAATAAATTATAATAATAAAATTTAAAATCATAACTGCTTACTCATCAAGATTTTAATATTATATTAAAAAATTATTATAATCAAATAATTTAAAATATTTAATAAATTATTAAAATTTAATTTATATTAATAATAATATTATAATGTTTTGAGATTAAGGAAACTATAAAAATTAAGTATATATTTGAATGGAAAATATGCTTTTTAAAATAAAAAACATGCATTTTTTAACTTTTAAAATAATAAATTATATTTTAAAAATACCATTCTAGAAAAAAATCACCATACTTCCGCACCACTCGCTCTCTCAAGAGCGCGAAGGTACACTAAACATGATATGACCTTCTGCCATTAACAACTACACGTGCAGCAGTAGTGACGTTCGGTAATATTTCGCATTACTCCACCAAGAACAGTGTTAGAGGATTGGTTCTAGTAATTTCTTGGCTAGAAAGGAAGGAACTTTCTATGGTGGTGAATTGTAAGAAAAAAAAAAGAAATTGTCTTAATCTTAACCGCAGAAAAATTTAATGTTATTCTTGACGCTGATGTTATAATTAACGATTAAAAAAATGTTAGTGACTCAAAATCAAGCAACCTGAAAGATGATTAAGCTCAAAGGTACTTCGACAGTGGAGACCCAGCATGTAAATCTTAAGTGTGGTTGAAAAACAATTCAATCTCTGAGATGCTAGTGACAATTACCAAATATGAGTGACGCATTTTACTTATGTATTTACTAACCTCGCTAGTTAGATCTTTAGATTATGTGTTGAGATGATCTAATCTTCCAAATTAGTGTTTTCTTAATCTTTTTTACACCATAATTTTTTTCTTAATCAGTTTGCTAATTTGTTTTTTAATATTACTGCCTAAATTTTAGTAACATTCTCATTATATTACTGTTAAAAAAACCAAACATGTGTGACGCCCATTTTCATGCGGGACCGAATTTGCTCGTAGTGTAACACACGGACTTGACTTTTATTATTTTATTAAAAATAATTTGTTAGTTTTCATGGTTTCAAAAACTATATATTTAATTCCTAAATTTTGAAAGTTATTTACAATTTAATATTTTTATTTAATTTACATTCTTCTCTATTTTATTTTAATGAATACAAAACAAAAAAGTAGATATGATGAAAACATTAATAAGAAAAAATATATATTTAAAACAAAAATACAACTAAGTATGATTAAATTGCTTAAAAACCTATTAAATTATTTATTATTGTTATTATTACTACTACTACAAGAATTAACTTATATTTTTTTGTTGCTATCTATTTTTCTATCTAACAATAAAACTGAGTTTTTATTTTATTTTAGCACAATTAAAAAAATATAAGGAAATAACTCAATTTAGAAAACATTTAGAAAAATAAAATAGTTGAGAGAGTTATAAAATAATTTCTACAACTCACGATTCTATGCATTATATGTGATTCTCTTCAATTATAAAATGGCATGTAAAAAATTAAATTGATGAAAAAGGAGAGAGAAAAAAAACTTTAACAACTTACTAAAGTTTTGATAACGATATCACTTGTATCATTATAAAGCTCTCGATAAGATGAATCCAATAATACTAAAAAAAATCACTAATAAAAATTGATATGGATCATATAAGCTGTCAAAAAATATCAATATTCACTTTGAGTTATTCTTGTAGCTCACTCTAATCATTGTTGATGATTTTTTTTAGTGTGTTGGATTTAACTTACCGAGACTTTTTAATGATATTGATGATATTATCATCGAGGCTTCGATGCATCTTTAAGATCTCTTTATTTTATTATTTTTGTCTCTCTCTTCTTCTTTTTTATAAATTTAAAAAAAAAAATCTTGAAAGCACACCAAAATTTTAATACCAACACTACTAGAACTATTAAAAACTTTTTAACGAAATGAGTCTAACAATACCATAGAAGTTACCAACAATGAACATAATAAGTTACATGAGCTCCTAAAAGATAACCTTAGTATAACTCATATGATCTACTTTGATCTTTGTTAGTGATTTTATTTAAAGTTGTTATAATCATAAGATCATTTTTATAATATCTATAATGTCATTATTGAAATTTCAATTTATCTTTAAGATATTTTTTTTCTTTATTATTTGTTAACTTTTTAATTTAATTTTTTTATAGATTATTTTATAATTTAAAAAGAGTCATATACGACGTATACGAATAAAAGATATTATCTGTAACTCTCTTACCTACACTACTTTTCTAACTATATATTTCTTATTTTTTTTAATTGTGTTTAATCCTATAAAAACTCACTAAACGGCATCACATTTTTTAAGATGGTGATGCCCTGCTATAACATGTCTTGTGTGTAGATTTTTAATTGTTCCTTTTATTTTATATAGATTTAATATTTATTTTTTATTTTATTTAATAAATTTTATATTTATATATCAATTTTTATTATAAATTCAATTCATTTAGTTAGTTGGACTATAATCCAAGCTATTAATTGTTTTTCAATTCATTAAATAATTTAAATATTTTATTAAAAAGTAATGTAGACCCACAGCATAATGAGATAGGATGTGTTGATTGACCAATGAATTACATGCATCCCCCAAACTCAGGCTGGGGCCAGCTGGAATTTGTATGATTGCTTTTGTCGCGAAGACTAATGAAATGACATCTTAAACCCTTAAACAATGCAGCCATTCAAAACCCAATCCTAATTAGAGCTAGCTAGGGCAGACATCATTTTCCATCCAGTTGCCACATCCTTCTCCTCCAGAGAGTTGCCAAAAAGCAACTTCACCAACAAAATATCCCAAGTACGGATCGATGGTTTTGGTTGTCGTCTTCTGCTTTTAGCCAGACCTTGAACCCATCGATCAAACACGAGGGTTCACAGGCGACCACCATCTCATAATGATGCTGAGAATTGAGTTATAATATTGACTCGGAATGGTGGACGTGAACCTAATTCTATATATATATATATATAAATATCATTGCGTACATGTAAATCATCGTGTCATTATAATTATATATGATGAATATAATATTCCTTGGTTTCAAAGACAGAACAGGTAGAGTATTCTCTCCGGAAAAAGAGAAGAGGGAACAGGGAGAGAAAGGCCCACGAATATCAAGTGAAGGGAAGTGACTAAGGCCTATTTGTTTTATATTTTAAAAATGTTTTTAGATTTTTATTTGCTTTAAATTAATATTTTTTTAATATTTTTATATTATTTTAATATGCTGATATCAAAAGGAATTTAAAAATATATTATTTTAATATATTTTCAAGTAAAATATACTTTAAAATACAATAATTACTCCCAAATAAATTGTTGGGAAGAAAAAATTAAATGGAAGGCAGTGTATGGTAAATTCAAAAGGTGTAGTGACTCAGAAAACTCACATGTTTACTTTCAGGAACATTGCTGCACGAAGTGGCTTCTATCCAATTAATCACCATTGTAATATATCATTATAAGTGCAAAAGGTACTTATCACAATTCCCATGCTTGGGGGGAAGGCAGCCATAGATAGATTGAGATTTGATCGCGGAATTTAACCTAAAACAAGCTAAAGGCCTAATAATTAAGGATCGCATCAACAATCATGCAATTTATAAGATTTTTACAAGACATCATTCATATTTTTGGATTCTTTATTCAGTTGAGAGTTTTGATGATCAGTTCCTTTGTGCAACTTCGAAATGCAATGCAATATATACCATCTTTTCATTAAACATTGAACAAGGGGTGTTGGTTTCAAGTTAGGAGTTCGCTTCCTACTCTCATTTTCAAACTTAAATTTAATTGGAAGTTACGATAAAAAATTATAAGAAATCTAAATGTAAAATTATCAAAACTATACACTCATACTCCGACAATTAAGAACAGTAAAATCATCTTTCGATTTTCTTTTATTTTGAGGAGGATTAATATATTTTACTTTGGAGTCTGTTGTTACATGCATCCTTATGAATTTTGATTTTGGTAAATAGATAACATCCAAGGAACGAAAATAATTGCCTTCCTAGAGACAATGTGGGTGTGTGAATAAGCTGGGAGGCATTGGATAATAAATAAAACGCACAAATATATGTGATTTATTTTTCAGGACTATTTTTTAATTAATATATACACTCGATGATTATTATTACACACACACACACACTCAAAACATCCAGAATAGTACATTCTATTGAATTAGGCATATTGACTCTGCCGTCGATCCAGAGATGGACATGAACTTTGTTGAGAGAGAGCATAAGCTTAATTCTTCCAGTTAAATTTATTAATGGTTTATTTTGTTGTTGCAGTAGTCTACTTCGTGTGATTAGAATGAGCCAATAAGGAAAGGTTATTCTGATAATCAAGATTTAAATAGATAGTTATTGAAAAATCTTACTTTATGAACACTCTAAAATTCAGCTCAACCAAGAAAAGCAAAGCAGAGGAGACAAGTGTGACCACCTCAACTATCACCTGAAGTGAATGAAGCTCCTCATTTAATCTTCCTTCCTTCGCATCACCTAATCTCTTTCTCTATATAATACTTGTCAATTGGTATCTCCATACATTCTTCATCCGTTGGCTAGCTTCCTCCTCCTCCAATTTCTTCCCTACCAAACAGTGTGTAAGAGACATATTTCAAGAGAAAGCAGTGAAAGGTCCGAAATGGGCAACTCTCCGCGTCCCACAGTATTGCCTTCAATGGCAGCTCTGCAGCTCTTTTGTTTTTTCATTTTCTCTTTAGTGCCGGACTTTGCAGCGGCCATAACAAGGCAGTACACTTTCAATGTGCATAAATCTTTAACACTTCAATTTCAAAGTTTTTGTTGCCAATTCTATCCTCATATTCTAATTTGTTTTATTTATTTTTCCTGATATGATTAATAAAAGATCACATACAAGAATTTTACGAGATTATGCCACACAAGGAGCCTAGTGACAGTAAATGGAAAGTTCCCAGGTCCTCGCCTGGTAGCAAGGGAAGGTGATCAAGTTCTAGTTAAGGTGGTCAATCATGTTGCTGAAAATATCACCATTCACTGGTATGAATATATATGTATAGTTTATCAAACAGTTAAATCAATTTATAAGTTATTGCATTATAAATATTTATGTGGCTTCGAGGTATCTTTAATATGATTATTTTGAATGAGGGAATAGGCATGGTGTAAGGCAGCTAACAAGCGGTTGGGCAGATGGTCCAGCTTACATAACACAATGTCCCATACAAACTGGCCAGGCATATACGTACAATTTCACCATCACTGGGCAGAGAGGAACACTCTTGTGGCATGCTCACATTTCATGGCTAAGATCATCACTCTATGGACCCATTATTATTCTACCAAAGCTCAATGAGTCCTACCCATTTAAGAAACCCTACAAGGAAATCCCCATTCTTTTTGGTAACTAATTAATTCATTAGCATATCAATGTATTATTCTTTTTCTCTCCCTAAATTTTAAGCTATGCAACAGAGAATCGATCTCTAATGAATTCGGGATTACAGGAGAATGGTTTAATGTAGATCCAGAAGCTGTAATTGCCCAGGCTCTTCAAACCGGGGCAGGTCCAAATGTTTCAGATGCGTACACCATCAATGGCCTTCCAGGGCCTTTATACAATTGTTCTGCTAAAGGTAAAATCTCACTTGATGATTATAAGTAGTGACTGCGCCAGCCATTTCCGGTTTTTTAATATTTTGCAAGGGAGAATGCGGTTGATATTACCACCTACAACATGCAATAGTGTAAAGTTGCAAGAGAAAGGTCAGAATTAAGGGCATGTTACGCATGCACCATGTAGGTTTTTTTTTTTTATCTAATAAACAGAACATAATTAATATTAATGAATATAGTTAATAATTAGAATTATTACCTTTAATCTGGATTAGTTGCAATACTATCGTCAAAGGGCAAATTAAGATGTCTGTTGGATGGAGTGTAGCATTCACCCATGCAAGAAACGGCATCCATAATCTACGTAAATCATAATACGGATGTCATTTTCTTTTTTAAGGTGTGATGAGATTTTATTAAAAATAAAATAAAAACTGAATTTTCAAAGAAATTGAATTTTGATATATCTAAAATAATTATCAACGTGATCTTCGCAGATACATACAAACTGAAGGTAAAGCCGGGAAAAACCTACCTTCTCCGACTAATCAACGCTGCACTCAACGATGAGCTCTTTTTCAGCATTGCGAACCACACTCTCACCGTCGTTGAAGCTGATGCTGTTTATGTCAAACCTTTTGAAGCTGACACGCTCCTCATCACTCCAGGCCAAACTACAAATGTTCTACTCAAAACCAAGCCACATCTCCCTAATGCAACCTTTTACATGTTTGCCGGGCCTTATTTCTCAGGCATGGGGAGCTTTGACAACTCTACCACCGCTGGTTTCCTGGTTTATAAACATCCATCTGGTAATAATCACTTGAAAAAGCTTCCTTCACTCAAGCCAACTCTGCCACCAACCAATGCTACTGGATTCGTTGCGAATTTCACCAAGAAATTCCGTAGCTTAGCCAACGCTAAATTTCCAGCTAATGTGCCACAAACAGTGGACAGGAAATTCTTCTTCACTGTGGGACTTGGGACTCACCCGTGCCCTAAAAATACAACCTGTCAGGGACCAAACAATAATACCAAATTTGCTGCTTCGATTAACAATGTGTCATTTGTATTACCCTCTGTGGCTCTTCTCCAATCCTACTTCTTTGGACAGTCAAATGGTGTCTTCACCTCCGATTTTCCTCAGAACCCAACAATACCATTCAATTATACGGGTACGCCACCAAATAATACTATGGTTAGCAATGGTACAAAAACAGTGGTGTTAGCATTCAACACGAGCGTGGAGTTGGTAATGCAGGGCACAAGCATACTCGGTGCCGAAAGTCACCCACTCCATCTGCATGGCTATAATTTCTTTGTGGTTGGACAAGGTTTTGGCAACTATGATCCCAACAAAGATCCTTCCAATTTTAATCTGGTCGACCCTGTGGAAAGGAACACGGCAGGAGTTCCAGCTGGTGGCTGGGTCGCTATTCGCTTCCTAGCGGACAATCCAGGTGCGTTATGCGATTTGTAGGGTAATTCTTGTATTTTTTTTTTTTGAGAATTACTTAACTTGAATCTTAAAAATTCTTGATTGACGACAATATTGATTTTGTGGAAACTTGTGACCAGGGCTGTGGTTCATGCACTGCCATCTTGATGTGCACACTAGCTGGGGGCTACGAATGGCATGGATAGTCTTGGATGGACCCCAACCGAATCAAAAAATACCACCACCACCGTCTGACCTTCCGAAGTGCTGATTGTGGCTGATCACTGGTCGGCATACCATCATTTGTGAATTCTTGTTTTTAATGCCTTAATAATTATGAGATTTTTTTGAGCGTAAGGGAGAAGGCGAGGCTGGTAAAATTGAGAAAACGAAAAGAAAGTAAGGGGTTGATTTTGCCTTGTTTGTTTGTGACTTGTTGCTAGTGGGTTTGGTCGAGAGTCAAATTAAAACTGAGATTCGAAAGAGCAGCTCAGTTGGATACATCGGATGGATTAATCACGCTTATCAATAATATTTATTCGATATTTGGCTCATCTACCTCGTATTTACGGTGCGATCGAGCTTTCCCTCTCATAATTACTATTTTGCTTTAATTTTAACTAAAGCTGAGTCCTGACATCTGATTGATGCTGAGGTGCTGACAGACTTCAATTCTTGAATTGCCATTGGCCAGTCAAAGAAATTAAGAAAAACCCCACTCCAGTTCTTTGCACAAATTTAAGATTGGTTATGTGTATTTCCATTACTTTACAATTTGGTTCTATTTCTTTGAATTTTTTCTTTCCACAGCAATCTCAAACCATAGCTCATTAAATGAGACCCCACTCAAGTTTTAAAATTTGACAAAAATCTCTAGATCTACAAAACACATGAAGATAAGAGACAATCAAGCCCCAAGACATCAAAAACATTGTATAAAATTATGCAATTGAAGAAAAATATGTTGAGGACCAAAACGAAAGGAAAAAGGCAATCAACAGAAATACTAAATGAGTACAATATTCTTCTACTGTGATTATTAATATTCATGTACACTAAAAATTTACATAATTATTAATTTTAAAACTTATAAAAATTTATTTAATTTTTAATTTTAGAATTTATAAAATTATAGTAATACTAATTAACAAAATTATTAAACATAGAGGTATTAGTGAAAAAATAAATAATGCAAGTATTTTTTTTATGGTTTTTATAAAAAAATAATTTAATAAAAATGAATTATTTTTTAGTTTTAATAAGGTTATGAAAACTAAATTGAAAAATATTTTTTTAATATTTAGTTATGTCATGTAAAATAAGATAGAAAATAAATTATTAATATTTAAATATTTATTTCAAGATTTTTTTTTAAATAGAGACTATAGATGAAAGGATCAAAGAAAGATTAGATTAAAAAATAATTTTATAAATTATTTTAAATAAAAAAAATAACAAATAGAGAGAGAATATGACATAAAAAAGTTAAAAGATAATAAAATTTTAAAAAATTTATATATTTTTTCCAATAAAATAAATATCAATAGATACATAAACAAAATTTAAATTAAAAAAATGATAAGAGAAAAATTAAAAAAAATTGAAATTTAATATAAAAATGAATTTTAAGGAAATAAATAAATTAATTAAAACAAAATATATTACAATTAAACGTATGGAAACAGCCTATTTTTTCAAATTGCATTTTAATTTGAGAAAGTCATTCTCAAAACCAATCAGCTTGAAGCACGGCTTAAATAGGACATATATACTAGGAGAGAAGATGCATATCCTAGCTTCATTGACAGTTGAAGATCAAGATTGAGATATACAGACAGCCATAAAACATGACCTCCTTCTCCTTATGTTTTATTTAAAGAATGAGGGAGACATTTGAGTTAATTAAGAAAGTAAAAAAAAAAAAGGGGGGAAGAAAGTTAGAGAAATTAAAGAAGGCTTGGATGGGCCCTCATGGTGCTAGATTAAAGTATCGTTTGGTGTTTGGTATTATGATAATGAATGAAATTCATCCACACCCATAAATATTATTATATGATAATACTTCAAAAGCAATTTTTTACTAGCAGGTCCCACCATTAATTATGGTTGTGCCACAGGTTTACAAGAAACAACTCTTTGTTATTTCTTGTGCCGAGAAAACCCATATATAGTGGAGCTATGGTCTACTGTTTACGTGAATAGTTCTACTATTTCAGTCAAACTGATTTAGTTCAAAGCTAAAAATACATTGAAACGAGTTTGACCCAACAAAATAAAAAAAATTATTTTAATTGTGTTTTATTTGAAAAAATAGTCTTAAACATTATTCAATGACACGACATAAATTAGACGAAGATTATTTGATGATATAATATTTGCAAAATTTGATCATAATTTCAATTTTATTCATGATTATACTTTCCCTGATGTTGTCGCGCTTAAGAAATTTGTGAAAATTATAGTCCTTGTTGGATGTATTTACGTGATGAAATTGTAAATAGTTTAATGAAATAATAAAAAATATTTTATATAAAGTATTATTTATTTCATAATGTAATAACAATAGTTAAATTTATAATATTTAAATTAAAAACTATCAATATTAATATATATTTTTTAAAATTATTTATAACCTTAATTTTAAAAGCATTTTTAACCAAACACATTAAATTACTTTTTATTCAACCTAAATTTCAATCACAATTTTAACAAAGCATATATATTTTCCAAATCAACCTCAAATAAAAATACCTTTTATAAAATAATTTTTTTAAAATCACAACTATAACAACTATCCCATTATCACCTCATGTTTGCAATTATATCAAACATAAAAAATTAAGAATACGCATAAGATTCCTAAGAAGCAATTAAGATGCTTTATTCATGGGGAGAGGATTTGCCCCCCATTTAAGGAGGCCAGCTTCCTTCCTCCTTATATAAAATCTGCTTATAATACTTCAAGGCTTGAATTTGCAGTAGATGGCAGCAGTGCCTTATATTTACAATAGCAGAGTCTATCTAAGGAATGTTTGAAAGTCTATGCTAAATCTATGTTATCGTTACAGCCATAGTTATTGAGCATAGAATCAGGTATAATTATAAATTAAATGACAGAAAAATTAGCATGATTGTAGACTAATTGTACGTTGTTTCATGATCTGCAGAATCTTCCTTGATATGTTTCTACAAGATTGAGCTTCCATTGGTAAGACCAATCTAGTGAAGCAATAACTTAATGCGCTACCTAGACAATAGCTTTATTAAGAGATCAGCTAATTGGTTTTAAGTGTGAACGTGGTGGACCTGAAGACTCCCTTTATGTACTAAGTCTCAGACAAAATGAAGATCTATTTGAATGTGTTTCATGCGTGAGTGATTAACAGGGTTGAAACTAAGATATGTTGCTTCGAGATTATCACATAGTAGTTGGGGATATTATGGCGTTGAAAACCTAGTTATGTTAGAAGAGTGGATAACCAAACCATTTCAATTATGGCGTTGAAAACCTAGTTATGTTAGAGTGGATAACCAGACCATTTCAGAGGCTGTAGTGGCGAAAGCCCGATATTCAGTTTTGGTTATGGAATGGGCTATAGCCCGTTGCTTCTTGAAACTCTAAGAAATAGGATTGGAACCTAAAAACTTGATATAGGTAGAGGTGGACATGTCATCATCAATGTTGTCAGCCAAATCAGCATTAGAATAAGTCCGTAAGGCAGTGATGCCAGTCTTGCGGAGCTGAATGCCATGGGCGATTATGTGTTTTAAGTAACGAAAGAGCCTTTTGGTAGCAATCCAGTGTGTTATTACAGGCCGGTGGATAAATTAAGACAGTTTGTTAACAGCAAATGAGATATCAGGGCGCGTCAAAGTAAGGTACTAGAGGCTATCAATGATGCAACAAAAATCTAAGGTATCCACAGCACCAGTGCCATCAATTAATTTAAGAGGTTGAGTGGAGGAGAGAGGAGTGGAGATATTTTTCGTACCATTCATACTTGTTGTAGCTAAGAGGTCATGAACATATTGATGCTGAGAAAAAAACAACCTGAATAGGGTGGGAATCACTTCAACACCTAGAAAATAATGAAGTGAAACCATGTTTTTTAGAGAGAACAGTGTATTAAGTTGCTGGATAACAGAATGCACAAAAGATAGAGTATTCCCTGTAATGACAAGGTCATCCATGTATACGAGGAGATAATAGAGAGTCGAGTCGTCCCTGTAAATGAAAAAAGAGAAGTCTGCCTTGGAATTATGAAAACCTAGCTGAAGGATAGTAGATTTAAGAGTTGTATATCAAGCCCGTGGGGCTTGTTTAAGGCCATAGAGTGCTTTGTTTAATCTGCAAACATGATGAGGCTTGGATAAATCCTTGAAGCCGGGGGTCTGTATAAACACAACTTCAGTTATTGCACCATTTAAAAAAGCATTGTGAACATCTATTTGCCTCAGTACCTATGCATGCATTACAACAATAGATAGGACAACCCTGATGGTGACTAATTTAACCACGAGATTAAAAGTCTTTTTGTAATCAACACCAAGACATTGATAATAGTCTTTGGCGACTAGATGGGCTCTGAAACGATCCACTGACCCATCAGTTTTGTGTTCTGTGTGGAATACCCATTTATAACCCACTGGTTGACAATAAAAAAAAGGTAGAGCCAAGTTCCAGGTGCCATGTTTCATAAGAGTAGTAAGCTCATAAGACATAACAGTACGCTAGTGAGGTTGAGATAAAGCCTGACTCACACTTGTTGGCTTAATGGTTTGGGGAAAGGGATATTTGGATATGGTGTTGAGGTGCTTGGGTTTGAAGATTTGGTTCATTGATCTGATGGTCATACTGTGAGTGCGACGAGAAGGTTCAGGTGCTGCGGGAAAAAAGGAATGAGGGGAGTGGGGAAGGTTGGATGGAAACTAGAGGTGGTAACAGAAGGTGATGAGGAAGAGTTAGGCATAACAGCAGGGAGCAGATTGGGTGAAGAAGGTGGGTGAAGGGTTGAGTTTTAGAAGCAATGAAGAATGAAGTGATCAGAAAAGTGATTGAGATTACCTGAAGAGGATGTAACGATGGCAGGTGGACCTTCCTAGTGTTGACGGGTTTGGTCTGATGGTGAAAGAACAGACATCAAAGGAACATAAGGGAGGGGAAGTCATATTTGAGACTTTGAAGTTGTGTAAGATGAAGAAGAAGAAGTGTTGACGGGTTTGGTCTGATGGTGAAAAAACAGACATCAAAGGAACATGAGGGAGGGGAAGTCATATTTGAGACTTTAAAGTTGTGTAAGATGAAGAAGAAGGCACGAGAGTGGATGGTTTGAAGAAATATTTATGTTCATTAAATAACACATGTCATAAAGTAAAGAATTTTTTTGCGGTGGGTTCAAAACATTTGTATGCATTTTGCGTTAAAGAGTAGCCGAGAAAAATACAGGTTTGGGATTTTGGTTGCATTTTATTTGAATTATAGGGCCGGGTAAACTGGTAACAAATACACCCAAATTTTTTTTAACTTTAGGTAATTTAGTGGTTAACCGAAAAG